ATGCTCAGCCATAAGCATTCTAAATTCTCACTTTCTAGGTCTACCCGTCGTATACAGGGGATGTCTTTTTTAATATAAGCACAAACTCCGCCACCTCGACCAATTACGCGATCTTTACTGAATAAATTGTAATCGTTAATTGACAATAAGCTGCTGTCTATGTGTTCGTGTAACCATGATTCAGTTATTGCGATAATGTCAATGGGCTTGAAACTTAGTAGTGCTGTCAATTCGTCCAGCTTTGGAAGGAGTGAGCGGGAATTAAGTAAAAAGAAACATGGGAGTATCATTTTTTTGTTAACCTTATAAGCATGGTTTAAAGTTGTAATATGGATTAGGTTGGAGGAGGGAAAATAGCAATTCTTGCGCTTCTTGTGCTGTTTAAACGTTCTAGAACGATCTGTAATATGGACGGAGATGTTCGTTCTATTTTTGGTTTTATTTGATGTCGATATTTTATGTAAGGTTAAAGAGGACTGTGGACTTATTCTATCTGGGAAGACCGGGATGTATAGGAAAGAGGTTTCGCTATTCAAAAAACGAGGGGTTACGTTGGTATAGTCAATAATCTCAGTTGGGTAAAAGTTTAGGTCGTTATCGTCATTATCGCTAATTTGTACAGGATCACCATTATCACGGACAATTTCCGCGTGGGATAAGTGACTTCGAGAGGTTATTTGTTCTTCGTTACTTGACGCACAAATTCGAGATAGACTGACCATTCTTTCATTCGGGAACGACAAAAATTCTGATTTGAGACGATTGTGCTTGGGGAAATGTAGTTGAAAACCCCGAGTACGGTTTTGTGATGGTTGTTGTCGTGTAGCTTGATACTGATTAGGTTTCTTGCAGCTAGTAGTTTTACTAGAATAAGTTCTATTGGAGCGACTACGAGTCTGTGTGCGGCTGGAAGTACGCGTACAAGACGTATCAATCAAGGGTAAGGAGTTAATCCAGGATGTATTTTGCCGTAAAGATCGCGAGTTGGGTAAAATACTTTTCCTATGCGATTTGACATTCTGACCTTCAGATGGATTAGGGCCACTTGGGTTATGAATGAACTGGTCACTACTATAAACTTTAGAGATCTCTCCCTCAGTGCTTTTTTCCGACTGCAACGAGGCGTTCAAATTAGTATTTACCTCGTGACTAGCTTGTATATTAGCTGCCATAGGCTGACTAACCCTTTCGTTTTCCTCATTACTATCCTCGGGTTTATTGTCATTCGGTTTTAGACACACATCCTTCATATTATCACGTACCGGTGCTTCCACCTCAATACGGTCATTATTGATTTGATCACATTCTTTGGTCCGATTCAGGAATGGAAGAATTCCGCATTGTTTTGATTTCAAAAGTTTAACTGAATTTATGCGCATTATTGTTTCACTTAAAGATTCATTACTCGCTTCAGTTGACTTGAGTTTATTCTCAAGGCAGACAATAGTATTATTCAAATAATTTATCTCCTGATTTCTTCCCCTGACTAAAATAGCTAAATCGCTTTCGAGTTGCTTACATTTTCTCCTTTCGTTAAAAAGATCTTTTCTAGCCACTTTGTTATTATTATGATATGATCCGCTAATTTCTCACTGTGGACACACGTTGCCATGAAAATAAGGCTCCGGCCAGGGCCGAAAGTGTTTACATTTCACAAGCCTAGGCTTAGGCCAGGTTTTAGGCCACCGGTTGTGGTGATCCCAGATTTTTATTATTATTAATCATTATTTAATCACGGAATCTCATCATCAACCATAAAAATACAGATGCTCTTCCTGGGAGCCGTGGGTTTAAAATACAAGTATTTACATTTATTATATTACAAAACAAGATACTAATTATATATTAAACTATGTACAAATAAATATAGAAACTATTAGAAATCTAAAATTGATTCTTAAATATGTGCAATTGTAGAAGCATTACGTTGGTCATTTGTCAAATTATTCCAACGCAGTGCCCCTCTGTAGGAAATGCTACGTTTCATAGCTTCAGAATTAGGTCTAGGTATAAACAGACCGTTTTGGGTGCGACGTAAACCATAAGTATGTACGTCAGCAGTTTTAGTAAACATACTTGACATATGGCTGTTTTGTAAACATACTGGCCTAGGTCAGGCCAAGACTAGGCCAAAGTCTGTTTACACTGTCAAAATGTTGGCAAGGCCAAGGTTGGTAGTAAACACGACTATTGAATGCATCAGGGCGTGTTACGACTAAAGGATTAGTGTTTCCCACAATATGGTAAAAAAGTATAAACTTTTTCTAGCTTGAGCTAGAGGGATTTCCAAGCTAAACCCTTCTAGAATTTACCCTGTATATATGTGGCTGTTTATATGACAATGGCATGACTGGACAGTAGGTTTTAATTCAGGGTGGTGTGTTTAATATAGACGGAATACACCCCGCCTGGCAGGGATGATAGAGTGCTCATATGAGAGTTTCTCGTCAGTCGTCCTGGCAGGTGGGAACCTGTCTAGGCCAGATAGAAGTAGAATAATTCGCTTTATTGTACTAAACAGTTGATAGAGTTCATACTGCAAGCTGGATCATGCCAGCGGGATCATAATAATTACAAAGTGGCTATATCTACACGTCCCTAAACAGACATTGCCAGGCTATATTTACAGCACTTTTATGTTACTAAACCAGCACTATAAAATTTATTGTTAATGAAGGATTTCAGCGAGCTCAAAAATAAACCAGAAGGTTAGGCAGATGGCTGCTGTGCTGTAGTCTGTGTTTCGAATCCAATTTGGGACGGGTTTTTGTTCAACTTAACTAAACATGTTTAACTTTTTTTTCTGATTAATTTTATTTTTTAGGAGTAGAGGTTAGGGTTAGTTTTGTTTTAATTTGATTTAACAATAAATACAACCCGTGTGGAGATTAGAATGAGAGTGCCATAAATATAGCCTGGCGAAGTTTGTTTACGGGCCTGAAGATATAGCCACTTTGTAATAATTATTTAAAAAAGCAATTTAATTATAGTTAAATGGATCAAATGATTGGATAATAACTGCAGACTTTATAAAAACAGTCTTCGCTTATGTTGTATTTTAGAATAATTTATTATAATTTATATCTAATTATTTACAATGTTCCTAATATATTATATAAGTAAAAGTACTTCATGTAAAATAATGTAAAAGCAATAATACCACATCTCCTTTCCTTTCATATATAAAATTATCAAAAGTTAATATTGTTCACTATATATCAATCAGTTAGTTAACAGTAAGAACACAACGTCAACAATAAGTAATATAATAGTCCTTTCACAAGTTCAGTTTTTAG